ATATCATTCTTGCCTTTTCTTTTCCTTTTCCTTTCATCTAGCTGTTATAATCATATGACACATACTTAATCATGATTCCTTAACCAATTATTCACATGTAAGGTACCCTTATCACTGATACAACAATTTGATATAATTTCATACATACACATAACAATGTATATAATTACATAGTATTATTTCAACAACAATAAATTTCCTTCTCTTCCAAGTGAATCCCTTTTCTTTCTCCTTACACTCAGTGACACCATTTGAGATTCCTATTACTGTTTATACATTGAGGGGAGTGAGATTTCATTAAAATCTCAGTGGCAATAAATTACAATCATCATGTAAATCAAGCAAGTATAATGTGACATATTATAAAACTTCAAACATCCTCAAGTCACATGAAATCATATTTTGTATCATACCAAAAGAAGAACATCAACAATTTCACATTGACATTTTTCTATGCATTTAGCCAAAGCACAAACAAATGTCATAAAGTCAACTATTATCACCACATAAAATTCTTCAATTCAAGTGATCAACATAATCACATTAAACAAGCAAGATAAACAATCAAATTATAATTTAGTACTACCTTTTAATACTTTATAGTTTCGATCTACTCAAGGCATAATGATTCTCCTTTATTCCTCCTCATAAAGACTATTAATTCAAGCATAAATATAAGCTATATTAATAACCAAACAACTAAGGGTGGAGATAGGCCAGGACTTACTCTTAATAGGCCAGGCTTGTTTTGTAGCCTATTGGCCTAAGCCTGGCCTATGGCTTGTTACAGGCTTGTTTTTCAACCTAAGCTTGGCCTGAAACCTGTTAAAAAGCCTATATTTTTGAAAAATTCAAATTACAATTATATATATTTTTTTAAAAATCTAAGATTAAAAAAAACGTACATAATAATTAATTTTTTAGTCTTGTATTTTTATTTAAATTTTAGTATTATAAGTACTATTTTAAATCTTAATTACAATTTACAAGGATATTATTGAAAACTAGTTGTAATTGTATGTTAAAATTTGGAACAAGATTATCTTTAAGTACACTGAAAAAATTAAAATTAAGACAAATAAATAAAGAGGAAAAAAACTATTGATTTCACAAGGAATAAAGAAGGTATCATAATTTATTAACATAACACATAAGTTAATTAATTTATCATTCTTAGAACAAAATTTTTCTTTCATATTTTATTTATATTTTTAAGATTTAAAGATCACATTATTTATTGATATTATTATTTTAATTTATATTTTTATCTTCACTTGTCAACTAAACTTCAAAATATAAGGAAGGATTAAGCTATTAACTATATATTAAAATTAAAAAATAAATTAAAAGAGCACATTAACAATAGTATCATTAACTCAGTTTTTTTATACATTACATTATGAATTTCTAACAAGCCCAAGTCAGCCTACCAGGCTTAACAGGCTTTTTAGAGAGTCTAAGCCTAGCCTATTTAATTAAATATGCCTTCAAACAGGCCTGACCTTGTCTCTTTTGGAAAACAGGTCAGGCCACGCCAGGCCAAATACGGGTCTGGCCTAGCCAATAGGCCCCTGATAGGCTGCCTAGCCTATTTTCACCCCTACAAACAACTTAAACATAGTCCTTTATCTTTAACTTAACATTTTCCCCATTTTTCTTTGATTTTTTAACAAAATAATTCCTCCATCAGAATCAATGATCTCTTGGCTCAATCCTATACAACTTTTCATGAGAAATCCAAATACCCAATCAGTTTTTCAAAAATCAAACTCGTTCCCCATGAAATTATAGTGGTTGAATGGGGGTTCAAGCTTCCAAAAATCCCATTTTTAATTCTAATGATTTTAAACACTTCCCAATAACATATCCCTACACAAAAAATACATTTTAAACCCATTAGAATCATTAAATCAATGCAAAACAAACTCTTCCAGCAAGAACGCCCCCTGGCTGAAATGAACATATATATAGCCTTAGGTTGATTTTCTTCCAAAAACCACTTCATACACCACTTAAACAAGCTTGTTCCATATCATATTTAAGGTTTCTATCCTTCCCTAATAATCAAGCATGTCAACCAAATTTGTGCAGAATTTTCTCTTAATTTTTCAAGCAAAAACCCTAATTAACTAGTTTGAAACTTAGGAATAAAAAGGCTTAAGCATACCTTGATATTTTCTTGATATAAAATGAATGATTCCTTGCTCAAAACCCTATCAAATTCACTCTCTCCTGGTCTGCAATGAAAATGGCAGCACCCTTTTTTTTCTTCTAATTTTTCAACATTTTTTTGTATTTTAGGGAGGGGTATTTATAGACAAATGGACCTACCATTCCTCTCTCAATTTGACATCCAAAATCATAGAAAATAAGGTGATTTGACTGCCATCAACTACATCATAACTTCAGATTTAACCATGTGTCCAAACTCTAGGCTTTTCTAACAATTATCCCTTAATTTGCATTTTATTTTAATTAAAAATAGAGCTGTCCAGAAGCTGTAGGAAATTGGGCTTGAATTAGGCCTAATGTGGGCCCCACAAATGGTTTAGGTTGTTCCAAAAAGATGACCCACAATCCAAATCAAAATCCCAAGTTAATTTGAAACTTTATCGGTTACTATTCACTAGTAACTTTTCATGATTTTTTTAGACCTCTAAAAATTCATTTCTCTCCATGATAATTCACCTTTTAATATGAGAACATGATATAGAAATTCTCAGAATTTTTTTACCACCTCTAGGTTTTTATTTTGAATTTTGGGTTAAGGTGCAGATTTTTTAACAACCATGTTTTACAAAAAGGACAACTGGCACCATTTACTTTTGAAGGGTGCTAAAGTAGACATAAACATTAAAAAAGAGCGCTTTTTAACCACAGCCGTTGGAAGGCCCAAACGTCCGTCCACTTTGTGTAAGTGGGTTCCACATCTTTCTCCACCTGGCAAGTGTTAAGCTTCGGACCATTTCAGACGTGGCAGGTAGAGAGTTCAATGACTCTATTAAAGTCCGAACGCCTTCCCCTGCAACCACATTTATACCCATCGAAGAAGGCGAAGACGCAGGGAGTACACAAAGTGAGGTCTAAAAGTGAAGTTCATGGCATCATCATCATCCTCATCGACGGCAAGATACAGGAGAAGGGTTGCTTTATTGAGGCAACCTAGTCGTGAGGACAACTATGAACCGCCTATGAGGTATTGCCATCATGGGTTAGTAGCTCCCCGATGGACGGCGTGGACTGATAATAACCCAGGTAGGAGGTTTTATGGCTGCCCAAACTATGACCAGGTATGAAGTGGTTTTCTTGCTATGAAAAATGCTATTTTCTTCCCTGGTTCTGTGGTTGAAATGTTGGTATTGAACACGACAGGATGGGGGATGTGGCTATTTCTCTTGGCATGATGGGGACTTCGGTGAGAGGGCAAACACTATGATCAAGGAGCTATTAGATGATATTGACAGACTATATGATGAAAGTAGCAAGAACCAAAGAGGAGAGCATGGGCGGAGACTAAGTGAAGAGCTCAATGTAATTCACAGTGAATTGAAGAAGCTTAAACGCAGACATGAGCTGAATGATGTGGAAGTGAGAAAGAGGGAAAATAAGTTTAGAAGAGCAATGTTAGTGTCTGTAATGATATCGGTTGCAGTAGTTGTTTTGTATTTGACAAAGTAGGAGTGTGTGAAATTGATTGCAATATATTTGTATGTCAGGAGATAAGGGTTATGATAGCTGTTTTGTAACAACTATGGACCACTTCGTGGTATATTTGATGAAAAAATTAGGGTTAAGGTTCTTAAGTGCCCCGAAAGTTTTCCCCGAGGAGCACTCAGCACTCGAAAGTTTTTGTTTGTTCTTAAATATCCCGGAAGTAATTTATCGTAGCAATTATGCCCCGAGTTAACGTTCAGGCAAACGGACGTCTGTAAATGACACGGTGTCGAGAAGATGGACGACACATTGGTGAATGAGATGGTGACATGGCGACAAAATAAAAGTTGATGCCGAAGGTCAATGTTGTCATCGAAGGTCGCTTTTGTCGTCGACATTGAGAGCTAAGAAAGCAAAGCGAGGTGGGGCGCATGTGAAGTGTGAGAGAAGACCAAAGATCAGTTCTCGAATATGTATTCAAGAAGACCAGTTCTCAAATACGTATTCGAGAAGACCATTTCTCTAATATATATTCAAGAATATATTCGAGAATAAATAAGAATATATTTATCGATAAGCTGTTTGATAAATGAACTTATCGATAAGCTACTCGAATATATTCTTGAATATATATTAGAGAAATGGTCTTCTCGAATACGTATTTGAGAACTGGTCTTCTTGAATACATATTCGAGAACTGATCTTTGGTCTTCTCTCAAGAATTATTCACATGGTGAAGCAATTACTGATCCAACAATTATATAACAAGGGTGGTAATTTTGATGGCAATAATGTTAATTGAAATAATAGAAGAGAAGAACATATGAATTAAATAAGATGTAAAGGTAACCTAATTAATAATGAGGAACTGAAGATGTAACATAAGATAATAACCTTAATTAATTATAATGGACATTTGTACATGCCACTAATGTTGCTAAAAGAGTTACATCACATAGGACTTGCAAAATAAGAAGGCATCCATCTGAAAGACTAAGCATTGGTTCACCAAAATATAGACCTAGGAAGTGATAATCCCATGTAAAAGGCAATAAGGTAACCATAATCCAAGTAACGAAATACGTAGTACAAAATAGTCAAATACATAGTCTTAAATGTTTCTAAGCAATCTAAATGTCAGAGCTCTTAGAGTTGGTCTTGCTTCTTGTCTTCATCATTTGGCTCTGTAGTTGGAGGTGGGTACTTGAAATGCTTCGTTGGCCCTTCCACATCAACCCAGGAGGTGTAAATGGTAGTGTTGATGGTTGTGAAACAGCGGTCCCTTGCCTAGTGAATGGTATCCTCCTGGAACCCTCTGGTGCAGTGCGTTTTAAAGCTCGTGACAGTCAAAGTTCTTTCTCATTTGGGATTGGAAATTTACTCTGAGGGTCCACGTAGTGTTGTATATACTCCTGTGCAATACCCTCCTCAATGACCACCTCAGAACGCATTCCAGGCTGCATAAGTCAATGACATTGCTTAAATGACAGTAACTTTGCATGAATTAAAATGGAAGAGAATAGTGTCTAGTAATACTTACATTGTAGACGGTTCTCCCAGTTCCCTCATCAATTCTTATACCCATTCCACACTCAACTCTGGGTTGTAGACAACCCTCTTTCTTGCTATGTGTTTGGAAGGTTTAGGTGGTTGTTGTGTCGATGGAGGATGATTTGTCGACTGTTGGGAGGGTAAAGTGGAATTGGGTGGTTGCTGTGAAGGTGGAGGGGGTGGTTGCTGTGTAGGTGGACTATGTGGTTGCTGTGAAGGTGAAGTGGGATTGGATGGTTGCTGTGTTGTGCCTTGGTTGGCTGTTTTCCTCCTTCTACCAGGTCGAGGCTTATTTGAGGGAGGTGCCTAGAAAGAAATGAAAAGTTAGCTTATAGTTATTGTAATAAATGAATATAAAGAAATTGGCACAAGTTACCTCTGTGCAAGTGCTTCTATTGTGCCCAACTTTCCTGCAGAAGCCACATTTGTTGACTTGTCCCCGTTTGCTTACTCTTTCGACAAGTGGTGTTTCTGAACCATTGCTCATGCCAACTTTACTTGACGTAGCTTGAGCAGCTTTCCTAGAGGCAACATTTGTCCTTCTTGCTACTTCTTCTGTCCTGATTCTTTTTTTCCTTGGTCGGCCAGGCAATGTGCACTCAGGTGGTGGTAGCATAGGGATAAACTGTTCTGTATCCCAGAATTGTTTGCCCCTCACAGGTGCAAACTTTGTCCTATAGCTAGCAATGTAGGTGTCCTTGTGGTAATAGCGTGAGATATGGGTGAGGGGCTCCAGTTTACAATGATACATAGCACGAATAGCATGTTGGCATGGGATTCCAGTTAAATCCCATGCCCTGCACGTGCACCTTTTCCTAGTGAGACATACTGTGTGCCTATCTTGTCCCTCAGTCACCTCAAATCCCTCATCCCCATTGAAAAAAACTCTACATGTAGAGGACAACAACCTATTTGCTTCAAATAAGTCCAGACATTTTGGACTATAGTTGCCTTTCCAATTCCTCACATTTTGCTCACTCTCAGCCCATTTTTCCATCATCTTAACCCTTATCCCATCAAACATTCTAATAACAGGTAGATATCGATATTCATCAATCCAAGCATTTAAACTCTCACTCATATTGTTGTCTACAACCCAAGACAAGCATCTATTACTGAAAGAAGCTCTTACCCAAGCAGATATAGGGTATGACACCATTGCTTCAGCTGCCTCTTTGTTAAGTGCTCCAAGTGCTTTGAGATTGTCTTTGAATTGTTCTTCAAACGTACTCCAAGCACAAGAGAAAATTTTTTTCTTCATCTCGTTCCCTCTCCACCTTTTGCTCCAGTTAGCATAAATATGCCTTGCACAAAGTCTATGCTCGACCTCTGGAAGTATCTCTGTCACAGCATGTTGTAATCCCTACATGTATAGAACTAGTCAATTAAATGTTCTCATTAAAACCACATAAGTCATATGTAAATCAGCAAAGGTAACTAATCATACCTTCTGCATGTCTGACATGAAAGTTACTTTGCCACCATTGTGAAGATCAAGTGATATCCTAAGCCACTGAATGAACCAACTCCAATTCACACCATTCTCTTTATCAACCAAAGCAAATGCTAACGGGTACAATGAGTCGTTAGCATCTAAACCAACAGCAGTTAACAGAATCCCTCTAGCTTTACCTTTTAGAAATGTTCCATCAACTCCAATCAATGGTCTACACCCAACTTTCCAACCAACCTAAACCAACAATTTTGACTCGTCAGGACAAACTGAAATATAAAACAACAAATTAACAGATTATACCATATGTGACAGAAATCTAAACATCATACCTTTACTGCATTAAAACACAAATACATTCTTCTAAAAACTCTTCTCCCTTGTTCCAAAGCCTCGTTACTTATCTCCACACTAATATCTGACCCCAGATTTGACACTTTCAGTTCATTGCAATAAGCTTCTAACTTGGAGAATTCATCTACGAAGCTCCCATCCATGTGTTGTATTATTCTCCTCTTTGCCCTCTTGCACTTATGTAAGCTCACGTGGACCTTCAACTCACGCTCAACATCATTCTTCATTTCACATATGCTGTAATTAGGTTTCTCCTGTATTTTCTCCTTGAAGTGTTCGGCTAGCCACTTCACACTTGCCCTAGGGTTCTTGAAAACCCTACCACACCTGTGCTCATTGCACAATGTCTTCACCTTGTAGCCCACATTATTCCCATCTCTCGATGCATATAAGGTGAATGGGCAGCCCTCTTCACATATTGCCTTTAATAACCTATTCTCACTTCTAATAATTTTGATATTCACCCCTTTCGAAATAGCATAGCTGTCTATGGCGCTCCTAAGCTCATTTAGGTCTAGGAAAGTCATGCCTAACATAAAGAAAGGCTGTCTCCCAAGCCCTCCAACACGTTAAGCCCAACTCTTTCATCTGGAGGCTCACAATCTTCATTAAGGCCCATATCCTCATCTTCCTCTTCACTATTTTCAGATACTTCAAAATCATCCACCAAACTCTCCTCAGTGTCAGAGCTAGCACTATTTCCAACATAATTCGAATCCTCGCTATCATAACCTTCTTCATCCTCACTATCTCCCCCTTCCTCACTTTTATCGTCATCCTCATCCATAACCAACACTCTTTTCCCTTTGTCAATTTCTCTAACAACGTCATCCTCACTATCTCCCCCTTCCTCCCTATGTTCAGTAAATCTTCAATTCCATCATCATCTATCTCTTCTAAACCATCTACATCTACACACTCAATCACCTCTTGTTCTGGATCTTGTCATTTTCATTGCCCTGTTCCTCTTTGTCATTTTCATTGCCCCCTACCTCTCTCTCATCTTGATTGGCCCAGACCCATCTCTCATTTTCCCTACTTCTTCTTACCCACTCACCTATGCTTCCATGCCCCTCACTCAATTTTTCCTTCGTCCTTTGCACACTTCGTTTTGCCAAATCAAACATTTGACTCACCTTTTTAAGTAGCCTCGCATGCTTCTCTTCCAATGTCTCGTACTTCTTGGCCTCCGTGTCGTCTCCTCCATTTGCGTCAACATTGCCCGGTTCGACAGGAACATTATCACCCTTGTTTGTCGCCATTCGCACTGCAACAAGTAAATCCCCAAATTATTAAGGGCTTCGACGCCATTTCACTATTCAACTTAAAAATACAACAACTTTTTGTCTAAATCGATGCTTACCTGTGAAGAATCTGCTGTTCCCTCGTCTGTAATCCTTCAAGAATCTTCGATCACATACTCTTCGATGGACCACACTTGCTAACCCTCTATCTCGATTTCTCACGTTTTCAGTTTCCCAATTCAGAACCCTACAAGAATCTTAATTCTCAGCTTTCTCGTTCTCTCCTTACCCCATCGACGCTTTGCCTCCTACTCTTAATGTTTGATTTCGCGCCTCACACTTAATCCAATTTTTAGGTCTCAGCCACATCACCATTTTCTTTCTGCCACGTCACTATTTACTCCCTGTCACTTCATCATTTTAGGTCAAATTTTTCTCACGCCCATCCTTGTAACCGTCAACGTTAAGGCCTTTCAACGGCTGTGGTTAAAAAGCGCTCTTTTTAATGTTTGTGTCTACTTTAGCACCCTTCAAAAGTAAATGGTGCCAGTTGTCCTTTTTGTAAAACATGGTTGTTAAATCCGCACCTTAACCCTTGAATTTTTTTCTGATTAGGCCTCTATCTTTGTCGCTGCAGGAAAATAAATTTTCTAAAATTAATTCCTGAGCCTTTAAGTCCTACAAATAATTTTATAAATTCAAATAAATATTTAGATGATTTGGCCATATTTTTTCCACAATTATTGAGACTTCTAACTAATTAAAATAATTATTTTCCTTTGATTTTCTACTAATTTTCTAAAAAACCTCCGTTTATGGAAAATTCCATAACAATTTATTTCCACAATAAAATCTTTTGGGCCTCAACCGATTTTTCAAAACCTCTAATTTGCATTTTTTTCTCATTTTTTTAGTAATTTTCTAGAATTTTAAATTTTTCTGTTTTGCCCTTCCTGAACCAATAAATTTAAAAATACCGGTTCGAACCCTTTTTGGATTTCACATCATGCTTAGTTTTCTTAGCCAATCTTCTTTCCCTATTGACCCTTAACTAAAATTTTTATCTCTTCTATCAATGCTAAATTTGGCAGGATGTGACATTTCTCCCCCCTTAAATAAATTTCGTCCTTGAAATTTCTAGGTCAAACCTCTATTCTTATCTTTGATGAGAGGTCAACTGGGGAGAATATCCCTACTTATATACTCAACCTGGCCTCCTTAACTTTTCATTATACCTCATTGCTAGGTTTCAATCCTAGGATTCATATTCACAAAGCTCTATCTTTCTTACTTTTTTGTCATTTATACGAGCATAGTGATAGCATGCCAGGAAGCATTGAATATGGAGGTCATGAAGCCCAAATAGCACTCCTTCAGTTAGAAGCCCAACAAGCCCTCCAAAGTGTTCAAGGGATTTATAGCTCGAGAATATTTACGTGGAGGAGGACATGGATGATGACATGTTACATACGGAGCCTAACGTGACATATGGAAGGCCGCCCTAAAAACCATCATGGCATATAATTCATCAGAGTATGAACATTTGGACTTTGAGAAAGATAGGAGCACATTCTAAGAGACCAAAAGGAGCATTTGAAGCCAATTTCCATGTTGTTGAAGGCCCAACACAAATTATATATACATGAAGGAGTCCATTAGAGCTATAATATTTTAAATTGGGGCCCAAATGCACTGTGCTATGGACCATGGGAATTCCAGAACGTGATTCAACCACATTCAAGCCCAAATGGATGTCTAAAAGGCCCATTTATGCTTTTGGATGTGAATAGCAATGAAGTTCCATTTGGAAGGTCCAAGAAGATTCAAGAAGCATCAAGAGTGATATTATTGACATTAATTAGGATTCTATTTGTTTTAATTAGTTTCCTATTTTCAAACAACAGACTTGTTCTTGAAGTTTAAGTTATTTCATTTTATTTCTATATAATAAATGATATCTCCCATAGTCAAATAATTATTAATGAAGCATCATCCCTAGCATTTATGTCTTAGATGCTGATTCTAGAGTGTTCTATGGTTGCCTATATATAGGCTACGTTTTTGTACTTAAAATTAAGACTTAGATGAATGAGAATTGAGTTTATTTCTCTCCGTGTGAGCTTTGCTTGCATCCTCGTATTCTCGTGAGAATACTCGACAGTATCAAGGGATTGATCAACCTTGTGGTGTCTTCATGATAGAGGAGCATGGCATGATCAAGCATCAAAGGAAGACCAAAACACGGAGCATGGAGCCCAAGCTAAAAGATGGAAGTCCAATATTCTAAAAGACCCATTACAAGGCATTGTAGGCCCAATGACAAGAGCAAAGACCAAATCTACGAAAGAGGCGCTGAATTGTTTGATAAAAGATCTTAAAGAGTTAGAGCCCATTTATTTGGAAGAAGCATCCCTCAATCAGCCCATCAAGGGTCCAAACATGGTGATTACATTGCTAGAAGCCAAACAAGATGATGTACAAGGCCCATGTGTGTAGTCCAGATTGAAGAATTCACTCAAAATACCATGTGACAAGCATGTGCCTTGGAGGAGGAGCATAAGTGACGTCCAAGAATATTCAAGAAGCATCAAGAAGGCGTCTTTATGTATTAGTTATGGTTTAATTTCGTTTTTTTTAAGTTTCCATTTTTATTTGCATTAAATAAGGCCTTTTGGTCAAAGATTGCATAAGAATATTTTAGGTTAGTTTCCTATTTTTAGGTAGAAGCCTTTTCCTTCAAGAAAAGGTAATTTCCTATTTCCTTTAGCCTTAATTGGTGCCAACTAAGATAGTCAATCATCATTAAGGCACATTTATGGCATTTATGACCTAGGGTTTTTTTTTATTCTAGATTGTTCTTTTGCTGCCTATAAAAGGCTACGTCTTTGTAATTGGGGATCAGATTTTGAATGAAAGAATTTTAGAGAATTTTATTTCTCTTGAGTGAGCTTTGCTTGCCATCTCGTATTCTCGTGAGAATATTCGACTGTATCAAGGACTGATCATCCTTGTGGTGTCTCCATGGCTAGGGTTGTAAGAGACAGGTTCTCTTAAGGTCCTACCTTCGATCGTTCGTCTAGTTTCCTAACTTGTTTCTAGCCGATCCGTATCCGTTCCTTATCACTTCATGGCCAGGGTTGTAAAAGACAGGTTCTCTTAAGGTCCTACCTAGATCAACCGTCCGTTCATTACTTGATTCTAGCCGGTTCGTACGTCCCCCCCATATCACATAGCCTTTGCTTCTTCATATTTTGTCATCACTACTTGCATTTTTTTTTTGGGTACTTTAGGCCCTTTTTCTCATAATAATGTCATGACAGTGTATTTGGTTTCATGGTATTTTACTATACAATGACATTGCAAGTTCTTTCAACACTGCTTTTATCAGGTCTTTTTGGTATACTCTGCCTTTCCCTTCTTTACTTTAAGGGCCTATCTTCCTTCTTTTATCTTCTCATTTCACATATAGCTTGCCTGAATATGTAATCTTCAGGACTTACAGCTTGTGATTCCCTTAATTCTTACTTTCCTCACTTTTCTTTGTTGACTAGAACATAATTGAGTTCAGCCTATTCAACAATAATAGTGTCTGTGAAAAAGTCAAGGGTACTCTCTTTGTACTTAGCAACCAAATCCTAAGGAAGTTTTTCCATCTTAGACTCATAGCTGGTCATCTCATTCTCCTGCTCTAAAGAGATACTACCCTCATGACTCAATAACCTTCTCTTAGGCTTGGTCTACTGTGACTTTGAGAGCTACCCTGGTCTCCCAAAAGCCTTTTTAAGATCTACTGTGACCATGGATTCTTTCCCATTCTGCTCAACCCATGTTCCACTCTTTAGGAGCCTTTAGACCAGTAGACTGAGCTAGAGAATAAGTTGCCTACCCTCAATTGGTGACTTAACCAATCATTCCCCAAGACTGATCACAGATGCCACTATTGCCTTCTTAGGCCTTACTCAAATCTTTCTATCAACTCCAGGGTCATTCATCATTCCTGTCATTCCTTTCCTCTTCTCTTAACTTTTGGCTACCTCAAGCCATTTTCTTTTCATTGAACCTCGGTAATTTTCCAGGCTATTGGCTTATGTCCACGGTCTTCTGGGCTTGTCATCATCTCCATGCCAGTCTGCCGTGTCTTATGATTTTCTTTCTCATCTTATAGGGAGAGGTCTTGTAAAATCATTTCTATTATCTTCTCAGGTATTTCCTCCTTCCATCACCCTTGGCCAGCTTCACTCTCATTGGGGCAAGGTTAACTCCATCGTAACCATTTCTCTTCC